CCTAAATTTTCCATTTGACTTTTTTCAGAAGGACCAGTGGGAAAGAGCAACTCAGAAGACTTGGGTTTTCCAAATCAGTCACTAACAAGCTAAGCAACCAGCTCTTTATTTATTTATGTATTTTTTGAGACAGGGTCTCATGCTGTTGCCCAGGCTAGAACTCAGAGGTACGATCATGGCTACTGCGGCCTCATCCTCCTGGGCTCAAGTGATCCTCTTATCTCAGCCTCTTAAGTAGCTGGGACTACAGGAGTATACCACCACAACTGGCTAATTATATCTTATTTTGTAGAAACAGGGTCTCACTATGTTGCCCAGGCTGTATGCATCATTTAGCAGTGCTTCTGGAACTGAGTGTGCACTGAATCACTTGAACATCTTGTTAAAATATAAGTTCTTCCCAACATGTTGGGAGGCCAGGAGTTTGAGATTAGCATGGACAACAAAGAGAGACCCCACTTCTTAAAAAAAAAACAAAATTAGCAGTGTATGATGGCACATGCCTTAGTCCCAGCTACTGAGGCGGGAGGATTACTTGAGTTCAGGAGTTCCAGGGGACAGTGTGCTATGATCACACTACTGCACTCCAATTCAAACTGGGCAACAAATCAAGACTGTCTCTTTATTAAAACAAAACAAAAACACAGTAGATCCTAAGATTCTAATTCAGTAGGACTGAGATGAGGTCAAGATTCTAAATTCTAACAAGTTCCCAGGTGATACCAATACTGTTGCTCCAGAAATTACAATTTTCACTAACAAGGTCTTCGATCTCTCCAGGCATTCGTTGGTTTTTTTTGTTTGTTTGTTTTGTTTTGTTTTTTTTGAGAGAGTCTTGCTCTATTGCCCAAGCTGGAGTGCAGTGGTGCAATCTCCACCTCCCAGGATCAAGCAATTCTCCTGCCTCAGCCTCCGGAGTAGCTGGGATTAAAGGCACATGCCACCATGCCCAGCTGATTTCTGTATTTTCAGTAGAGACGGGGTTTCACCATGTTGGTCAGTCTGGTCTCGAACTCCTGATCTCATGATCCACCCACCTCAGCCTCCCAAAGTGCTGGGACTACAGGTATGAGCTGCCGCGCCTGGCTCCTTGGTTTTGTAAGCTGTCAAATGACGTACATGAATGAGGCAAGATAATGCCCGTGACCCCTCCGGAACACTAATATTTTGAAGTTTTATGATTGTACAGAATTAAATGCATATAGGTTTGTACTCTCTGCAGACTTTTCTGAGGTAAATGCTAAAATTCTAAAAAACTTTAATGATACCATTTTTTTTCTGTAAAAAAACAAATTTAACAAAAATCAGAAAATTTTATTTGCTATATAAACGTTCAATCTCTGAACAATTTTTTTAGAAATGGACTTAGAAGACCGACATGAATGAAAGACAGATCTTTTAGAATTCTATCAGAGAGGTATACAGTATTTTCTAAATAGGCAGTTCATGGAGGAGAAAAACCAATGCTGGACTCGGCCCACACCACTATCTTAAAAGCATCAGCTTCACATGAAAGCAATCCCTGGAAAATGCCATTAACTACAGTAACATTGAAGTTGTTTTTGTAAAGTCTCAGTCAAGACTCTGAGCAGGAAAAATGAGCAAAATTCCCACACCACAGCCAGGTTGTAGTGTAATGTAACAGCCCACAAGGCAGGCGGAAGGAACTGATGAGGGCAGCCAACAATGCCACACAGAATTTACTTCTGAGGCATCTTCCTTCCATTTTAAGAGGCCCTAGAGTAAGACAAGGTTCAAATGGTACAAAAGCAACAAGGAACTGGATAGCAGTGGTGAGAAGGCTCAGCACTTCCTAAAGCAGTACCTTGGAGATAGGAAGCAGGCTAAGATATCCAGTTGTGTTTTTTTTGAGACAGAGTCTGACTCTGTCACCAGGCTGGAGTGCAGTGGTGTGATCTTGTCTCACTGCAACCTCCCTCCCCTCTCCCCCCTGCCCCATTCAATTCTTCTGCCTCAGCCTCCTGAGGAGCTGGGATTACAGGTGCTCATCACCACACCCAGGCAATTTTTGTATGTTTTGTATTCGGCCAGGATGGTCTCGATCTCCTGACCTCGTGATCCACCTACCTTGGCCTCCCAAAGCGCTGGGATTATAGACATGAGCCACCAAACCCAGCCCCAATTTGTTTTTAAACTCTAAATGATGCACCACAGCTAATTACCTATATTTGAGAACAATGCTGGAAATATGTTAAACCTTTAAGTAATGTGATGCTTTGAAAATATTCAATACTTTTATATTTGTATTTTTGTTTCCTTTAGTAGGAAATTTTTTTTAATTTGAATTAAACCTTATAAAAAATCCTTTATATATAAATCATGCAATACTCTCCCAAAATAGTTTCAAAAATTTAATTCATATTAACAACACATTTTCCGGACCGAGATTAGAGGCTTACGCCAGTAATCCCAACACTCTGGAAGACTGAGGCAGAAGGATTGCTTGAGCCCAGGAGTTCAAGAACAGCCTGGGCAACATGGTGAAAACCCATCTCTGCAAAAAAATATGAAAAACCAGCCAGGCATGGTCGCACACAGCTGTAGTCCCAGCTACTCAGAGGCTGAGGCAGGAGGATCACCTAAGCCCAGGAAGTAAAGGTTGCGGTGAACAGTGATCATACCACTGCACTCCAGCCTGCGTGACAGCATAACCTTGTCTCACAAAAACAACAGACACTTTACTGCCCACAAACTCCTCAAATCCCTTTGGAAAAATAAACAGTATACACAGAAAAACTAGAGGGTGGGGTAGGAAATTTTTTTTCTTATATTTTAAAAATTGAGATGGTATCGTTATGTTGCCCAGACTAGTCTTGAACTCGTGGCCTCAAGCGATCCTTCCACCTCAGGCTCCCAAAGTGCCAGGATTACAGGCATGAACCACTCAAACTGCCCAGCCCCACTCAAACTGCCACTCTCAATCTTCCCTGCCTCCAATCGTATTTTAAGCCAACTTGCTAAACGTTGCCTGTTTTAAAACCAGTCAAAAGATTTATATTACCGAGTTTCAACTTAAAGTTCTAATCTGGAACTGTACATTCAGCTTATCTTTAAAAAAAAAAAAAAAAAACATGAAAAATAGGGCCTAATGCCTATGTCAAGTTGTCTTTATTAAAACAGAAAATTCATATAAATCATAAGAAAACACAATATATAATCATTGTATAAGAATTCTACAAGAGCGAAACTTTCCTATTCAGAGGCATATCTGATTAAATATTAATCACTGATGGTATCTTTACAATACCTATTAAAACCAGTAATTTCTAGAGTTTATAAAGATAACTTACATAACCAATAAAAACATAAGGTCAATTTCTACCAACACCATAAAAGTACTAACTGACCTTTATAAATAATCTGTAACAAATCTCTCTAAGCAGTAGCCAAAAACCTGCTAGTATCAAACATTTAATTTCACCACCTGACCAGCAGTTGGTTTTACCTTTCCTCTTAGCAAATGTTACACAATTCCACCTGTAGAGTATATGATATACTTTTAAAATGCATTTAAGAAGCCATTACATTTTTAGAGAAACTGCTGTTCCTCTTCAGAAAAAAAGAGAGAATGTCAATGTGGACAGGAACATTTTAGCCTATCATTAAAAAAAAAAAAAAAATACAGTGTATTAAAAAAAAAAAAAAAAGCCACGTAGCAGTCCGTGGGCAGCATGAGTCATCATCCAACTCAAAACTTGAAGCAGCACTTGTAAGCTTCCTCCTACCCGACCCCATCCCCTTCACCAAAGTACCCTGAGTCAGCAAACCTTACTATTTTGTCAGTTATGATTCTCACGATGCTTTAAATGAATTTATGTAAAGCACTGCAACACTTTTACTGCTAACATTTCCCTTTAGAATGTGTGCATTTTTTATTGCAAAATTAACTGACTTCAAATCACTCTTCTCTGGATTTTTTAATCACAGAAAGTAGCCAACAACTACTTCTAAACCACTTGCAAATAACTGAATTCCAAAATATCCTTATACACGAAGCTTTTTCTAAAACAATTCTCCATTTTCCAGTGTTTTCTTCTGAACAGTAATACCTAGATGATCTAATATGTTCTGCTCAAATCTGGCATATTTTCTAGATAACTGCAATTACTGAATTCAGGACATTAATAATTAATTTTACAAGCTTAACAAGGCAATTCTTATTAAATGACGTAACATATATGTGAAAAGACTACACTCCTTGGCATATAGCAAACACTTCATAAACATGTTTGAACTACTACTATCTAAAGACAAAGTTTCTTTCCACCCAATTCAAAATTATTTTTCCAACATTAAAATCTGACATTTTTATGAACAAATTCCTGATTTCAGGGCCAGGCCGTGGTTGGACCCTACATTGTTCTGGTCAGATCATTCTTTCCATCTCGGTTTCCCAGTGTTAAAGAGAGAAGACATGCCCAGTCGGAACTGTAAGATACAGGCTAGAAGAATCAGTATCAGAAAATTACTCTGAAGCTGCTTGCTCTTCATTATACGGCGCGTTAATTTTTCCCCTTGACAAATCATCTGCATGCGTTAAAAAAAAAAAAAAAAAAAAGGCATTACTGAGACTGCATCTTTAACAATGAACATGAATTCTGCTGTTAATACAGTAGGCTTCTAATTCCAACTCACCAGTCCCTTTCACTGGATCTTTTCCAATGAATAAGCAACAGAAAAAATAAAACAGTAAAGAAATCAAGAAGCTCCTCCTGCACAGAGCCCGTAACACCTGAACCGGTTGGGTACTACACTCGCCAAGAAACAAAAGGCTGCCAAAACACCTTTACTTCTCAACACAACTCACAAGGCGGATTAAAATGCAGAACAAAGTGACGAGGCCCTTGTTGGTGAACCGACAAAACAAATTTTCACTGGGGCACTTTTACAGACCACCACTTAAGGTCCCGAAAGAAGCTAAGAAAAGACTGTAGGGCCGGGGGAGGAAATTAGGAATTTCGTCTCGGAGTTCTCAGTACCTCATTCATGGCTAGACTCAAAACTTGGGCGGACTTCAGGGCTCTGAGACAAGCCGGGTGAGCGCTGCGCGCTACGCCACTGGAGACTTTGCCCGGCCGGAGTCAGCTGAGGCCGAATCACCGGGTGGGATGGGGGAGGAGACGTGGGAGCATTTCGAAAGGCAGCGTGCCAGGAAGGCGAGTCTCCGCGCCACCTCATGCTCTCCGGGTCGCCGCCCCTCGCTCGCCCGCCCTCCAGTCAGGCTGGGTTTCGAACCCGCGGAGCCGGGAGCGGGCGGCGGGGCGGCAGCCTGCATGCGTGGCCCGGGAGCGGGCGCGGCGCGGCGCGGCGCGGCACTGCCCGGCCAGACGACGGACGAGGGGCGTGCCGGGTGGGAGGGGCACGCCGGCCGCCTCGCCGGCCCCACGCGGGGACCCCGGCCCGCAGTCTGCCGACCCGCGCGGGGACGCGCCGGGCAGGCCCGAACAGGCGGGCCGGCGGGCGAGAAGGGGGCGGGCAGGAAACCGAACAAAAGCGCCTTTGTTGAGCGGCAGCCGCCGGAGGGTCACACACAATGGAGGAGGGAGCCGGCTCCGCCGCCGCCGGGCCCGCCGCGGCGCCCTCCCGAGCCGCCCAGCTGGCGCGCCCCGCACACGTACACACACACACTCACGGGACTTCTCCGACTCATCGAGAGAGTGCGGGGCCCGCGGACAGCCCCCAGTGTCGGCTCAGGTCTCCGGCTGTGCTGGCGGCAGCGGCGTCTCCGAGGCTCTCGCTTTGCCGCAGTCGCCGCCATGTAACCCCGACCCGCGAGAGAGGGCGAGGGAGAGGGGGCGGGCCCTCACTGAGCCACGCCCCCTCGCGTCACAGGCTCACTCCACGGGTTCCCCCGCCCCCGCCCTGCCCAGCGCGCCCGCACGCGCCGGAATTTCCAACGCCCGTGACTGGGCTGCGCGCGCCGCGGGGGCGGTGGGAGAGGCACGCGGCTTGTCCTGCGTCTCCCGGGGACTTTGCCTGCGGGTGGGCAGGGAGGAGGACAGCGGGCCATCTCAGCTCTACTACCTGTCCCGTCGTTAAAGGAACAAAGTGACCAAACTCAGTGCGAGCGTTTACTAAGCACCTACTACGTGCAAGGCACTGGGCAATCCGAGAGGAATAGGGCTGTCTCCAGGATGGCTGGACCTCAAGATGGATTGGCTGGAAGGCGACAGTTCGAGCACAAGGCAGACGCGTTAGAGGCCACATACTAAGGTCATTCATTCTGCCAGAGAGTACAGAGGAAGGCTTTTAGGAGAGGTCACCACCCGGCCTTTCCGCTGGAGCCGGTATATCCAGGAGGTGAGGGGGAGGATGTTTCTGCCAAAGGAACAGTGTGAGCAAAGACTGGGAGTCCAGAATACTTAGCTTGTTGCAGGAACTGGGATAGGCCAATTTGAATTTGGGAAGGGATGCACTGTGAAACGTAGAAACATGGATGCGTACCTTCTTGGGCCCATTTCTTGCCTAAAAGCAAACTTATATTACTTATCATGGAGTATTGAGTGCAAGGACCCTTTCCAGTGTTTATGTGAAATTTAAGTATTTATGAGATTAGAGACGCAGGTCAGCATATTTTTTGAATGACTTCATCGCCATCTCGATGAGAACCAGACATACAACAAACAGCCCCTTAGCCATTATTATGGGCATCTTCAAGAGTGAGGCAAAGACCACTTCAAAAAGATCACAGAGGGCCGGGCGCGATGGCTCACGACGGCAATCCTAGCACTTTGGGAGGCCGAGGCGTGTGGATCACCTGAGGTCAAGAGTTCGGGACCAAAAAAAAAAAAAAAAACAGTTCGGGACCAGTCCGGCCAACATGGTGAAACCACGTCTGTACTAAAAATACAAAAATTAGCCGGGCGTGTTGCCGCGCGCTTGTAATCCCAGCTACTCCGGAGGCTGAGGCGAGAGAATCGCTTGAACCCCGGGGGGCAGAGATTGCAGTGAGTCCAGACCGTGCTCCACTGCGCTCCAGCCTGGCGATAGAGCGAGGCTCCATCTCAAAAAAAAAAAAAAAAAAAAGTACAGAGTAACGAAGTGCTTGGGGTGAGCTTGAATGCTTTATATTTTTTAATATTTAAAACATCAGCTGAGTACCAGGTGTGAAGAAGCAGTGACGAGTGGATAAAACCAAGAGAAAGGTGAGACTTGTTCCAACCGCAGAATTTCCAACTTCTGCAAGGAGAGCTCTTACCTTCAGCCCCACTGCCCCTGCTTTAGGGTCTCCTTTGATTCTCAGGACATTTTTCCTTCCACTCTTTGAGAACTCGTCTACCTTCCTCTTCCATCAATGTTTGATTGCCCAGAGAAGGTGGGAGAATAAATAACAAGCACTGTGCCTTCCCTCAAGGAACGTATAAAAGTGTCTCGGCTGACTTCCAGTAAATAACCTGTGGATCATGCAAAGCCAAGTTGATGGTTTACAACAGTTAGGGAGACCACTGAATTGACAGAATCTTTGTAGCATTTCAAAAGGGAAGATCAAGGATGGAATGATTATACGATTTGGGGCATCTGATTTAAGACTGATTTTTTTCAGTGAGGGGTCCTGATTGGGACTGGGACAAATTTGTGATATAATAGTTTAGGATGGGTGGACAGAGGACTGGGAGAGTTTTGAAACAAGCCTAAAGGGATAAATAGTTGTTAAACCAGTAGAGGAGGGGACTACTTACTCTGATGAAGGCAAATTCTGTCAGTAACTCACTGAGATAAAAGGGTCTCAATCCGCTTACCCAGCATGTTGGGAGACTGAGGCGGGCGGATCACCTGAGGTCAGGAGTTTGAGACTGGCCTGGCCAACAGGGTAAAATCCCGTCTCTACTAAAAAATACAAAAAAAATTAGCCAGGCGTAGTGGCGGGTGACTGTAATCCCAGCTGCTTGGGAGTTTGAAGCAGGAGAATCACTTGAACCCAGGAGGTGGAGGCTGCAGTGAGCTAAGATCACACCACTACACTCCAGTCTGGGTGACAAAGCAAGACTCTGTCTCAAAAAAAAAAAAAAAGAAAATGAAAATTCTATCAAAATATGATATCTCATTGCTACATCCTGATTTTTTTCTTTTTTTGAGAGAGAGAATCTCGCTTTGTTGCCCAGGCTGGAGTGCAGTGGTGGACTCCATGGCTCACTGTAGCCTCAATCACTCAGGCTCAAGCAATCCTCCTGCCTCAGGCTCCTGAGTATTTGGGACTGCAGGCATGCACCACTACACCTGGCTATTTTTTTTCTTTTTGTAGAGATGAGGTCTCACTAAGATGTCCAGGCTGGTCTCCAACTCCTAAACTCAAGTGATCCTCCTGCCTCAGACCTCCCAAAGTGCTGGGATTACAGGGATGAGACACTGCACCTGGCCTAAATCCTGATTTCAGGCATGAAAAAGAGGAAGTACTTCTTAAAATTGATAAAATATAGAGTTTATATAAATGTGTCTATTGGGTCATAATGTAAAATGTATTTCTATTTATTGCTCATTGTTGCTATGAGCTATGCTATTGCTAAAAGTTTGAAAGCCACTGCCATAGTGGAGGAATGCAGGAGAGAAATAAGTACGTGAGACAGCTGAGTGCTTCCTGAGCAGAGATGCAAATTACTTGCTCTTGTTGGACTATAATGGAAGAAACAATTGATAAGAACTAGGGACATCAGGAAGATAGAGTATTTGAACTGGGCTTGATTCTATCCGGTAGTATCTAGAAAAAAAAAAATCCCAGATGAAAGAACAGAAATGTACAAAGACATGAGTATGCAGGGCACACTTTGGAAAATGGGAGAAGTCTGACAGGCCTGGGAGAATGAAGACAAGTTAGCAACAGATTGAGAAGGCCTTGATTGGCCAGGCATGGTGGCTCACGCCTGTAATTCCAGAATTTTGAGAGGCCGAGGCAGGCAGATCACGAGGTTAACAGATCAAGACCATTCTGGCCAACATGGTGAAATTCCATCTCTACTAAAAATACAAAAATTAGCTGGGCATGGTGGCACATGCCTATAGTCACAGCTACTTGGGAGGCTGAGGCAGAAGAATTGCTTGAACCAGGGAGTCGGAAGTTGCAGTGAGCTGAGATTGTGCCATGGCACATTCCAGCCTGGCAACAGAGCCAAACTTGGTAAAAAAAAAAAAAAAAAAAAGAAAGAAAGAAAGAAAGAAAGAGAAGGCCTTGATTATAAGGCCAAAACTTTTGGATTTTATGCTAAAGAGAGTAGGAGAGGAATTTAGAGGATACAACTAGGATACAGCTAGTATTTTAGAATATAACACTGGCATTAATAAGAAGGGTAGATTGTTTGAGCCAAAGATTGGAGACCTGGAGCAAGTAGAAGAATCCATTGTTTTTTCTACCCTGTATCCAATGTACCATGTTCTGGTTACAATACTCCAGCATCCTCTAAGGAGCCTCCCTTTCCTGTGTAAATAAAAATTGTTTCTGTTGCAAGTGACGGAGAAGCCAAACCCAACTAACTGTATCTCAGGAGAGAGAAAGAAAGTATTTAGATGGTTATTGTATCTTTACTGGGCAAGGAGATGATAATACAAGAAAGATTCTTGGGTAAAGTTGACTTGGTGAACGCGTAGGTGAGTCACAGATGTGTCTTAAGTCACCCAGTTCCTCCCACATTACCTCTTTAAGTTCCCTCTTTAGGCTTCTTGTTTTATCTTCTTTCGGTTAGGTTACCCTATGAAGATAAACTGCCAAATACCTTGATTTTCAAAATGGAGGGAAAATAGCATCAATACAGACTACTATGTTTGATGGTAATATCTGGAAAATGTCTGATATAAATCATTAAAGACAGTATGTTAGGGAAAATGTAACAGGTCATCATGACTTCTCTTCGAGTAAGTCATTACTAAGAAATACCACTTCCTTTCTTGATAGATTACATTACTTAACCAAGAGGTTGGTCATTTCAGGAAGGCAAGACACCTTTGTGGAGAACATGGAGTGATGTGGGTTTAGATTATAGCAAAGAAAGGTTTATTCAAAGAGTGTAATTCATGTCATCACAAAGAATCTTGAGCGTTCTCTAGAAAAAAATACAGATTTTCCCCCTTTACCCTCTTTATTCAGTCTTGAATAATATTTTTATCAGTGTTTTAAGATACTTATGAAATTTAAGGGAGATATAAAACAGTATGATAGATGACAGTATAATTACTCAAAATCATCTACATAGGTTGCAAAGAATCTGTTTAAAAAGATGACATTTGACTGTAATAAAGTACGATATCTTTCTTCAGAAAAATCATTTTAAAAGGGCCAGGATGTGGGAGACTTGGCTTAACCTGGTAATGTGACAATAAGGGATATTCATGCAGTGTGAGCAGATGCCAAAGTAACAAAATAGAACAAAATGTGTTAATAGGAAACAGTGTCCAAGTCCCAGGGGGTGCCACACTTATGCTATTCAGCTCAAGATTTCT